AAGCCCAAGAGTGGTTGAGGTTTCTGAATGTGCGAGGACAGTAAAACAAAGATTTTGAATGACACCGGGTACCTGACGACCAGTGCAACAATCTCTAACCTCCTCCATGCAAGCCGCATTACTACGGCCGGCAAAGAGAGTAGAGGCTACGAGGGGGGTGTGGGGAATTATGAAATCAAATGGCACAAGTCAAGCAGCGACGGACTAGGATCATGCAGAAATGCTCAGCAAGAGATGGCAGATCAGATGCTGGGGACTTATGTAAACCACCCTTATCTAGACGTCATTCGACCCAATATACGCCTTTCACGCTTCCTTCCCTCAAGATTATAATAACTATCTTCCCCTTACCCTGCAAGAGCATATCAAAGCTCTCACTGATACTCAAATGCAAAACAAAGTCACCATCTTTAAGCATTTGTAATACAGCTTAAACTAGGACCTGGAAAATGCACTACAAAAACTTCAAAGGCATTCTACAAGTAGAATATAGAACTATAAAGCCACTTACTCATCGTGTCCTCTTTAGATACTCCGGTCTTCAACATTGCTTCCCCAAATTTGAAGATGACTAAGTTCCAATATCCAATATTGATAGTGCGAGGGTAGAAAACTGGTAGCTTTTGATCTGTCGCGTCTAGTTCTTAGGACTTGGTTCGAGGTGTTCAGTTCACTCCTGCAGTGGACGAGGGAATCACCTCTGCGTTCTTGCTTTTAGCTTCGGTGAGGTGGAAGTTCACTTCTCATGCCTCCATGTTTCTCTTTCTCACCCGATATGTAGATTATGATGGCGGATCATACCAACACACTCAGCACCAAGATACACTTTGAACTTCTATTCAGCAAGTGAGAACTATCATCTTTTATCACCTATACATGCAAAATCACTAGGAGCTAGACAGTTCATCTCAGACAACAACCTCTCCTAATTTCATAGCTCCAATTGGGAAAGCAACTGAAAATGCTGGTGTTAAATGCCATTTGCACTCGAGTATGCAAGTTCTTCCACTCCTGAAAACCACTCACATGGAAACAATGCTAACCGAGAGTAACCTCGTATGACGCGCCGACCTTGAAGTCTTATTGAGTGGTTTGATGATGAAACCTCTAATATTCTGATTAGTAATATGACAACAGCAGCTGAATATGATTGTATCCCTCGCTTTATCTATTCAAATTACTCTGTTTAAAAAATTATGGGACTTAACAATTGCTACACTGCATGACACCATATAATAGGTGACCCAAATATCCCCCCGCCATCCCTCTCAGTATTTAACACCTGTCATCTGTAGACAGTACAAACTTGTTGAATACTGATATATCTTCCGATTCATTCGTCTTCAACATTCCATCGCTACAACACAGGTGATCCTATGGAACTGAAAACCTGAAGGGAGAGCTTTTGCTGAGAACGAATGGATGGGATAAACAGGGTAAAGGGTATACCGAAAGCAATGGCTACCAAGACCAATATTCTGCACTCACAGGATAAGAGAACAGATTCCGTCATTCTGTTCACTGTCCCTACACCATCAGACTTACTCTCGGAAAAAGGAGAACAGCCTGACAAAGAGGAGTGGGACGACTATTGCAAGGAGTTAGGAATGGGAACCATGGCAGCTAATTTACGTCGGCCCTCCCGAGGAAGTAGAGCATCTCGAGACAGGCCCCCACCTCTCGGGGTATCAGCAATGGCAGCAGAACAGTCGGAGAACGTATCGCTGCTGTCGAGCCGACCAGACATTGAAGGCTGCTGCCACACAAGGGTGAAGCCAGGCAAACCTTGGGTCACCGGAGAGGCGGAAAGAAAGCCGACGATTAGTGATCTGCATACAGCTGCAACCATGCTGGTGTATGGAATGCCCGAACTGGAGCGGGTGTCCACAAAGTGTGATAATTATTTCCATGATGTCTAGCAGTGAAGGCGGCTAGCTGCAAAAATGGTGCTTGGAAATGTGCCTGCCAACAGATTAAGTAGGTCACCAAGACCTGCGCGTTTGCAGAGCCTTTCCTCATCAAGATTGCTAAGTGTACGCTCTGACTGCAAAACAATTAACAGAAGCTCTCACAGCATAGCTACGTGTAAAAGAGCACACAGGAAGTGCTGTGTGATGCTGTGAAAGAAAATCACTAGCTGCCGGTCTAGAAGATATTGGGCAAACTCCGAGAATACTACAAACTGTACTAGTCAGAAGAGAACTAACTACTGATTTACCTGTAGGCACAATAAACAATACCGCCACACCAGCAGCAAGATGCCAGGAGGGACCAAAAAGCGGAGGCCCACTGGCCTAGTGGGGACTGGCAGTCAGAATCCGATGTAACGGCATGTCAGCCTCCGCACATGTCCCCACATCGCACTAAGCCCAGAACGTACCTCCTTGACATGCTTATGTTATTCTCAAGATAGAGGCAGCCGTCAGCAGGCATTGTGGATGAGGAAACAACTTTGCCTAATATGACCCTGTTCCGAAAGGACTGGCAGTTCGAAGACAGCAGAGGAGTTCCCATGTATATTAACACTCATCCAAAAGTCAAGTGTGTTCAGCTCACTACCAGTCTCCTTATAGCGCTATTCCACCACAAACCAAACAAAGTACCCATTAGGAGTGGTATGTAGGCCTTCCCTTTGCATAACAGAGGCCCAACTGCTCTGTGCCATTTCAACGACCACCTTGGCAGCCTATGACCATGCAGTCCTAGCTGGAGACTTTAACACACCGGCATTCAACCCGGGATGTGAAGTAAGATGTGGGTATAAATCTTCCGAACACAAACTTCGAATTATGTTTATGGCAACAGGACTGATAGAGGAGGTGATATAAGAATTCTTAGTGACAGATATACATACCAGAGCAACCCGGCTAAGCAGTTACGTTACAGTTCGAAAAGTCTGTATCGGTTTATGTCACAGGGCAAATCACGAGTAAAAGTTTAAACCTGATCACACGACCGGGGTGGAGAACATTTAAACGGCCGTGAGATAGCGGAATCGTTGAGCAACCGATTTGACGAGCAACTCGACCCAGTAATACATCCACTGTCAACGTATAATAACGTAACGAAGCCCCAGGACTGAGGTGCAGGGCCGATGAAAGTAAAGATTTCGTCAAACCATGTGTTCGCGAGACTCTCGACACCGAGAATAGGGAAATCCCCGAGTTGTGACGACCTAAGACCGATGGTCTCATGCAGCTGTGCTAAAGTGCTAAGCGTACCCATACGCAGCCTGTTCACGCACTCGTTGGAAGTAAGTCAACTCCACAAAGAATGGAAATGAGCCATCCTCTCACCAGTCTTCAAGGGAGGGGACCGAAGAAATCCTTGCAACTACTCCCCATACTTTTCACGGTACTGAAAAGTCTAGTTGCAGATGTTGTTTGGGGCTACCTGAACGGAGACAACATCGTCCATCACACCCAGCATGGTTCGGAATCGGGTGGTCATGTGCCACAAACTTGACGACCTCTTGGGATGACCGGACCACCAGATGGGACAACAAACAACCAGTTCAGGTTATCTTCTTGGACTTGGCCCAAGCTTTTGATGGCGTCCCACACTGCACCATGCTCACCAAACTTACGAAGGTAGATATCACCGAACCACCCTTGGCATGGTTTATTGCATATCTAGAAAACAGAGTGCTGTACTAAGTTACACAGAATTCTATGAAACTGGGGGAATGCAAGAACAGGAGTTTCTGAAGGAGCGGTCTTTAGACCACTCCTGTTTTTACTATTCATAAATGACCTTCCTGTTAACATCTTCTCGTCTATCCTTCTATTTGACGATGACACCAAAATCTAGAGGACAGTAGGTGACGAAGAGGATTCTAGGATACTCTGAGACTACCTGGTGCATCTGGAGTCCTGACCAGCTGCAAACGGTTTAAGCTTTAACCTGGAGAAATGCGAGGCGACGTTTCCTCGCAAACCGGAGGCGATAAAACTTAGCTTTACTCTTAACAAGTGTACAATCGCCAAGGTAACCAGACAGAGGGACCTGGGACTAAACTTTTCTGACACGCTGAATACTAAGGACAATTATAAGGGAATGGCAGCAAAGGCGAACACCGTTATGCACTTTCTAAGACGGTAGCTTAGATAGTTAACCCCGAAGTTATTCCTTACGGTATGTAAAACCCATGTTACACCACACGTAGAGGTGTTCAACGCGGCAGCCCCCTCCCACTGCTAAAGAGAGATGCAGATATTCTCGAGAAGGTATGCAGGGGAGCGACGAGGTCGGTTGTCGAACTGACGGGCATAACCTGTTCGCAACGCCTCAGAAAACTTGCTCGACTTGTTCACACTAGGCTATCGAAGGAAACGGGTTGACCTGACAACAGCCCACAGGATCATTCACCAAGTGGACCACCCAGATAGGGCAGTGTTACCGGTCCGAAACAGACAGTCACGTGGGAACCCCACTCGCACACCTCACCACAGGAAAAAGAAGGGGGGTGAGACCTAACTTCCTCGTACACAGAGTATGTGCCTTACTGGAAGCTGTCTCGAAGAAAGTGGCCACAGCCACATCAGTCGACTCCTTCAAATGACTACTGGATGAGTATATGAGCCCAAATTGCTTACCATGAACATTTGTCAGTAGCAGCTGGTGATATACCCTTCCCCCTTGTATTCCCAAACCTTAGCATCTGCAATAAGAAGCATCGCTCCTCCACATTACTGTCGGTTACACTTATCTTTTAATTAGTACGTTTCACCCCTCATTTTTCTCATTCCCCAGTCACCCCATTTCTGGTACTTTTGACATTCACTGCCTCCAAAGCTATGAACAGGAAAACTGAGAGACTTCTGCGACCATCGAAGGGGCACAACCGAACAAAAAGAACCAAGCATCAGTATCTAGAAGTGAGAGCTTAAAAACTACAAGTTTCCTCTATTCGCACTTCTGTTGTTGGATGTTGGAAAGGTCATTGAAATTCGAAACCTGAAGGTTGCGTTGCCCGCTGAAAGAGGTCGCTAGGTTTCCGTATGTCAAAATGCGACTCCAGAAATATGGCTAAAGCTAGTCACACAACTTTAAGTTTGTGGCCTAGAGCAGAGCCATTTACGTATGGCATCTTCCAAGTGCATCCACATCCAAGACTTGCTGTTCACGTAAATTCATCTACAAATTTAATTAATGCGTTTCTTCAGAATATTAAAAAGCTTGTGACATATGCGAAAACTAAGAACAAGGCTGGGTCAAGGCTAAGGTAATACTCTAACCGGCTCATAATTTATGCGAACTTATCAACAGTTATTCTGTTTGGAAACATGTTGCATGCAATAAACTTCAGCTAACTGAAGATTTAGCATGGGTGTATGGTCCACTTTTATACATATAACTGTTTAGTTTATTTCACACTTGCCTAACTATGTCAACGACGCACTTTGAAAAATTAAAGGAGGTTGATGAACGAATATTCACTGCAGGAAGCTCAGTCGATTCTGGTAGTTGTTCGTATTTGTCTTACATATTTTCTAGAGAGGATTCGTGGTTCTCAATCAATCGATTTGTTTACTTTTGTCTTATTCTTGTTTATTCAGCAAATCAACAAGATATCTTTGAGAGCCTCAGCAGTTTCTGCCAGTGCTGAGTTAGTTTCCCTTCACTTTCATTAACGTCACTTAGATGGCCCGGTAGCTATAACCGTCCATCAGAACTGGATTCAGGTCGTTCGACTCCAATCAGATTATGTCGCGTAATTGTGTTAACTGTAGTTTCAGGTTTTTAGAACTTAGATGAACAGTGTCACTTGCAGTTTATCAGTGAAAACTTGAACGACATACTCGATCTCCTAATTGAACCGGGTAATTTCTATTTTGCTGACTTTTTACAGGCATATGTTGAATATGGTTTAGTTGCAAAATAAAAGCTCATCTAGAAAGCTGTTAATTCCATAAACACAAAGTAAGGTCAGGATGTTATCTCAGCATATGATTTAATTATACGATTAGCAGAACAACTACAGTAACTTACTGGCGCTATGGCCTAACGCCCTAAGTACATACTTTTAGCAAATAATCTATGGTTTCTGATGGTACCTAGCCTTTGGAACTTTTGACAGCCAGGTAAAGCTAAGGCCTTTTACCTATTAGGTTTAACTTGCGTCTGAAGCTGTTACCTTCTTCAGTAACATTGTGGTTTGATATTAATTCTTATTGTTGCCCTTTACTTGTTTCGAAATATTTAGAACTCGGCCACTTTCAAAATGGTTGAAATTGTACGGATAACCTATTACTATTGCTTAAGTGATGGGATTATTACGTAGCATCTGAAGACATTTATCAACACCAGTGATGTTTCTTAGTTGCAAGTATTGCTATACAGTATCTCGTGATCAATTCTGAGCTATTGTGCCAGTATTTTGCAGTTGAATTTCCTTGCAATGCTTATAGGGAGGTATTTTTGAAGGTTGCAGGGTTGTTTATTTGACCGGATTTCTGTTACTTTTTTGGAACTTCATATCGATAGCTCTGCAGCTATGTCCAAATTGAATCAAATTCACTGGTAAAGTGGCTGAAGCATCCCACCTTTTAAAATCTTATCTCTTCAAACACACCTTAAGTCGGTTTTTGGCTCCATTGGTTATCAGCATATGATAGCCTCTTGTGCAGCTGCCATTACATTATGTAGACAGTAAACTAATTGGAGCGCCGTTGTGTTGAATCTGTCTTACTAATCTCTTTGAAGATTACCAGAGTAATGCAGCAATGAAGCGTTCGTTGTTTCAGTCTGTAGATTTTCTGTTCATTTTTTCTGATTCAAAAGAAAACATGTATATAGTACACTCACGAGAATATTGGTCGGTTGAGTCGGAAGATTAGTGATGTTGCAATTTAATATGGATTCCTCACGAACGCGTACTTGTGAACTTATAGGTAAACTATAAGATCTAAAAATAAGTGACCCAAGTTGGTTTTGGTGGAGTGGCTACCAGTCTAAGCCATGTTTCAAGCTTTCTCTAGAACCAAAGATCAGCAGTCCCGACGGATAGCTGCTACCTTGACAGTGTGGCTGGGTTCACGCATCACAATGATCTAATGAGCTACACTGGCTGTTCCGTCGAGGTCCTACTATCCCAGGAAGTTCTATCGGATAGCGATAGACGTTATAGTTCAAATTCCTACTCGATGATGGGAGTCAGGGGGCGAAGTCGTACTGCTGGCTGGCTGGGTTATGACAGTAGTAAGGTGTTTCCTTTGGATAATTAGTAGTACCATGTTGATAACGCCTTTACCGTGGTAAATGGGGAGGGGGGTTAGAAACGGTGGGCCCCAAAAATAGTACACACTACCTTGTGGCCTTCCGGAGCCGGCTGTGTAGGTTTTCCGTATCTAACGTTCAAACATCGAAATCGGAAATCAACAGTCCTGTCTGGGGTAACCAGTGGTTAGGGACTCCTATTGGTTTACCTCAAAATCAGTCACATTTATATGGATTTATTCAATTTCTATCATTGAAATCTCGAACAATTGATTGACACTCATACTTATCAAGGCCATTCGTACTTAAATTTGCAGTTGTCATTGTATTGCTATTGGAATAAGATGTCTAGGGTTTCTTTTCGAAAGACTACAGGTTGCATTTTCACTTAGGACAATGCAAAGTAGCATGTAAATTTTCTAATTTATTGCTAATGCTATAACAGATAAGCATCTAGCAAAGATGAAACAGGTACTCCAGCCATTGTAAGCCATTTTATTTAATTACATTTTCGTTAACTTGAGATCATGGAGTTTGTTTCTCACTGGAAGCTTCTGCTGCAAGGCAGATACTCAAAGTAATCATACAGTAGGTAATTGTGTTAAAGTTTACAATACTAAAACAAGTACAAACTGAACTAGACTATCTAAATCACATAAGTTAGGAGTTTCCAGTCAGCAGAATTATTTGTATTATGTACTTTTAACTGACAGAAATAAATAATGAAACATCTAAACAACACATTAATTGAAATAGTCAGTCAGTCACTCACATACAGAATCAACGTAGAACCTCGCACACAACTGCATCGGTTCAACTCACCACACTTCATAGTCTCATACAAAGACACGTAAATAGAATAAGAGTGATACCAAAGTGAAAAAAAGTTGTGTGAAAGAATAAACAAGTTGAAGATTCACATTAGTGAGACTAACCAAGCCTTAAAAGACATCAAAGAGTGAATACATCTCTACCACTGCGATCAATTTTCAGCCATGTCAACAAGTTGTAAACCACTGGTTCCCATCGTCTCACTGACTCGCAACACAATTCAGACCAACAGTCAAGGACGTCATGGACTAGTGCCACGTCTTCATATGACCACCCTTAACCCTCCACTAACCTAATACAGCTTCTCCTAGCATAGCACATCAAGTAGGTGGTGACTCGGTATGTGCAGTACATGTCCAAGCCACCTCAGACAATGAAGATTCACAACTTCATCAATTCACTTACTGATCTTGCCTAGCACCCTTCACCTGACCTCAACATTGCTCACACGGTGATCCCACCAAACGCGAGCAACGCTATAACGATGCCTGTGATCAAAACCCTGTAACCACTTTGTGTATTCTACTTTTAACAACCATGTCTCACAGTCATATAACAGGAGAGAGCGGACTGCAGCACACTATACTCGTCCTTCGATAGGTAGTCGGATATCTCACCGGCGCCACAGATGACGCAGGTTGGCAAATGCCGAACGGGCCTTCTGTATCCAAGGTTGGATTTCGTCAGGAACCAGTTGATGCAAGTCCTCAAGTTAGGGAGGTGGTCGATATATTCCACCACTTCACTCTGTCACTTACCCGAAAGTAGTTGGTGACTAATCCTGCAGCATTATCTTAAATTTGACAAGTGCAAGCAAAACGCATGCCAAATATGTTCAGATTTCTGCTCACCGTGTTCGGAAGACCCCAAGTTTTTAGCATGACTCAACACACTCCAAGTCAACCAGATGACTTCCAGGGAGTAGTCCGATCCCTGTGAAGTTAAACCTATCCAAGGTTATGTTAATTAGTTGTCTATAACGAAGTTAAGCAAAAATGTGATACTGCGTATTCCTGACGAACAGCTCTGGTTGTCATCAGAATTGATGACAACTTTCCGTAAGCCCTTACACCGCTACGTAAATTCGAGTAGAGAGTCTTGATTAACGTTACATACTTCCTCGATATTCATTTTAAAGTCAGTCGTTGCCACAACACCTCACAGTCGGTAGGGTCTAGTGCTGCTCTCAGGTCAAGAAATGTGGCAAGAGTCGGCCACCGGTATGTCTGTTCCAGAATCTGAAGTAGGGTAAAAGTATGGTCGGTATAGCCCCGTCCAGGTCTGAAACTTGCCTGTTTTTCATGTTTGCTGTTCTCCAGCTCCAGTGTAGCGTTGCATAACGATGGATCCTGAGTCTGGGACACAATAATAGTCAAGCTAATTCCCCTATGGCTGTCACAGGAAGACTTCTCTCCCTTATAAACTGGAGTGGTCAGAGAAGTAAACCGGTCTGACGGGACTAACAGATTCCTATACACTACTGAGTACCTCCTTCACTTTAATTATCAAGTTTGTACCTCCATCCTTGATAACTTCGGGTGGCAAACTGTCAAGTCCTGCTGCTTTGCATCGCTTTAGGTCCGATACAACTTTCTCAACTTCAAGGAGAGTTGGAGGACCGACATCTACGTCCCGTTCAGGTTCAGGTTGGATGTTGGGCGACGGAAGCATTACTAAGTGCCAATTCGTCTGCGCATCTAAGTGTTCTGCCCAACGTTCTAGCCACCTGTCCTGGGAGGTTACCAGTGTTCCACCCTTTTCGGTGATGGTTTCCCTTATCGTGGTCTTACCGGTATCTTTAATAAGCCTAAATAACTGCCAGGTGTTACACACCACTGATGCCTTCTCTATCTCTCTCGCTGTCGCCACCCACAACTGCTCGTGGTCGATGCGAAGACTTGGTCAACTTATATTTCAGTTGCTTTCTCTCTTCGTCGTCGCCAGAGCTAGTTGGGATGAGTCTTCTCGCACCAGTCGGTTCGGATGAAGTTATGAAAATCCAATGACGTTTCATAACTTTTAGGTATAGGTTACCAATTGTCTTTACCGCTGTTTCTTTAGGAGACTATATCAAACCAGGTCTCCTCAGGATGTGCATTGCTGTCACGTTCAGTAAATAATCGGCTAACTCCCCCCTAAATACATATTTAGTGTCCTCATCTGCCAATCGAGCATAAAAAGCCCTTACTATCACCTGTTTTCTGCCACCAGTAAGGCGCAGATACACACGAGACCGTACTAGTGCGTGATAAGAGTCCAAGCAGGTGCTTCGGAAAGAGCGGCAATCCATAGATCCTCTCTAACAATGGCTTATAGCAATATGATCTATCTTTATCCATCGTTGGCTTGATGTCGGTGGACGCCATGTGAGACAGTCTCCTTATACCTAAAGTTAGTCCTGGCCAGAAACAAGTGATTGTCGGAGCAAAATTGAAACAGATGATCACCGTTGTTGGTTCGGTAAATACTCCCAAGATGCCTTTCCGATTAGCTTGGCTCTCCTATTTGAACATCAAAGTCACCTACCATTATGACTGCATCTAAGCATTTTGTTTGCTGTAACAAAGTTGACAGCTTCTCATCGAATTTGTTCTGTACATCATCTGCACTGCAGTCGGTGGGTGCGTGGGTGGAGATTACTAATAGGCATCGGTTGGTCTTATGATCCTTCCTAGTTCTTACAGATCCATTCAGTTGAACAGCACATAGACGGCTGTTTATCGGTATCCAGTTGTGAAGCGCACTTTCTACCCTACAACTCAATGCCATGCCTACACCAGCGAATCCACGAGAGCTAGCCATCGGGCCTCAGGATACTCTTAAGATAAATTTTAAAGATTCACTACTATGGCCAGGCGAAGTCAATTTAATAACCAAACTCGGATCCTGTATACGTGTCTCAAAGACATAGGACACACCCATGGCTAGAGGTTTCAGAGTTTTGGCGATCGATGCTTGCTGTCCGATTTAGCATAGAGTTCGGACGTTGAAAGCTCTTACATGAAATCGATGACCGGGTCGTAGAAGACTAGGAATGAGGTTTGGATGGCTTTGATCGTTGATGATGGTCGCAGAATGAAACTTTGGGAAAGGGTAAGGGGCTTAATATTAGTATCATGAAGTGAAGGCAAAGGAGACATAGTTGAGGAGGATAGGTTATGTATGACTGGGTCTTGTGCACAACTGGGAACTTGCGAGCAGTTGACACTTCCCGGCTGCCCACGCCACGGAAGGCTAGTTCTTCTTGAGGCAACTTAAAAAGAAGGAATAGTGTGCGACCGCAAAGCAGAAGGGATATCTACTTGAGGCCAGCCACACAGCCTTTTCGCAAGTTTGAGATTTTGGTATTTTGCTCTTAAATCAAACAATGAATCCCTATTGCAGGCATTGGCAAACCCCATGTGTGTGGTATTTTTTGGGGTCGACCTTTTATGACCCCCCCTTTCTAATCGAAAAAAACAGCATCAGCTTGGCACTGCTGATCATCTAAGGGAAACACCTTGCTGCAATCACACCCATCCAGCCAGCGTTGCGACTTCTCCCTCGGACCTCAATCATAGTGTAGCAGTTTATACCACAACGGTGACTCCCTTTCGTCTTACCACTATCCAGCAGACCTTTCTGGTATGATAGGACTTTAAGGGAACAAGCGTTCCACCAACCTAACTCCTTGGTTCATTGTGGTATGCAAGCCGGATCATCACGTTAAGATAGCAGCTACCAGTCAGGAACAGTCGGTCACTAAAGTTATTACATATCATTGGTAGGAAGTTTGTCACACGTTTGTTCATTGATTAGTGACAGTCGAATGTGCAAGCTGGGGCTATAGATGGAGACTTCAATTGCGCCACATAAAGTTTTGTGGTTTAGAAGAGGAATTTGGCTGTTTGTCGACGTAATTGACTTACGTGCACTTAGGCATTAAAGTTGCTTCCTAACGAAATACATGGTAAGAATGACGGATGCCTACCTGAAACTCGAAAACAACAAACCGGAGAAAAACAGCCCAGTCCCACATTTTTTCTTTGGTGTATAAATCAGACCTGTTCTTCTACAGATTTTGAAATAAGTACATATACCAGTATACAGATGACGCCTTATTCTATTATCTGAATGTAGCTCGTGATACTCGTGACGGAAGGGTTTGGTAGTGGTATCTCACTGAATTGTATATGTCACGATTATTGCACCACCAAATACCTTATTCGAACACTTGTAGTGGTGTCGTAGCCTGCTATAAGCTACCCTCTGGAGCAGCACTGTTGAATGTTGCTTCACAGAGATGTTCGTTCTTATTTTTCCAGTTCATCTTTTTCCATTTAATCACCCGAAGAATTATATCATTATTGGAATTGTTTTTATAGAGTACTCTCAAAACAACCACTTTGGACGACAATACAGACAAAATGCAGTATGCTGAAAACTTTAAGTGAGAGGCTTACTTTTCTTATCATACAACGTATAATACTGTTACCAAGAAGTGTCACACGAAAATAACGGTTAAATACAAAAGTAGAAACATAAGAAGGATATTGAAACTCTCGGTAAAAAGCAGACGTATGCCTTCATACCACAGTTCATTTAGTGACTTGGTTTCTTAGCGATTAAAAATACTGAATAGCGTAGTTTTCATGACGTAAATTAAGGGATCATGACTCACTAACAGGTGCTGAATTGAACTAACTTAACTTCATCACTTGGTTCCACGTTCACTATGACCTCCCTACTTCGTTTACCCATCACTCACCGTGGTCAGCTAATAATAGTGTTAGAAACAAGTAAAGTGCACTGACACTAGTGTCTTTCAGATGAATTCACCTATCAAAAAACGACTACTATCATTTTAAGTCTGGTTTGTCGAATTTCAGAACTTGTAAGCTGTACCACATGTGATGTCTTATAGCTTGTCTACAGATGGATTAGTTCCAGTAATAGTTTGGTCGTTCTTAATTATGACACTTCACCTACTCGATCTTCTGTGTCCTATTATCTTTGACTTAAAATATAAGAATTTTGGCTTACCTTTCCACTTTCTATTTTGCTTAACATATTAACATTGTTAGATAATTACTACTTATGGGATATACATCAGCTGGTAGTAAATAGTTACAATAATTACAATTTTCACCTATCTTTTAGATAACCATGGGGGAAACAGTATGGATGCAATATTATCGGAAGATGCTATTGAGGCTTTAAATCTCATTTTGGAAGGATCAGCTGATCAAGGAAGGTAAAGGCGGATTTCATTACTTATTTTCAGATCACTTAATTCTTTCTCAGAACTGGTGCATATGCCAACAATTCTGCCAGCAACCGGTTATTCCAAGGTATTTAGTGCTTGTTTATTTGTCAGTTAAGTAGTAGTAAAACTTTGTACACTATTTGGTTTAGTTCTGTTCTATAGTTTTTAATTTCCCTTCATGGATTTGAGAATAAACTGGTCAACGATTGTTAGCCAATCAACTCCTAAAAGAGATATCTTGACATTGCGGTTTATCGTATTTTTATAGTAACTGACAATGTGATTCACGGCATGTGTTTTGATTTACTTAATTGAGCAAATCAATATTAACATTTATTCATGTGAGTCACTATCCATTATAAGTATCCTACTGATACAAATTTATGCAATGGGTGTTTCTCAAAGCGTTTATTTTTAGTATGGTATGAAACCCATTGCATTCATTTGTTGTTTGCTTGAATCAAATACCGGAGTACTGAAGTGAAGTGGTGTAATATGTCGACCACCTCCCTAACTTGAGGACTTGCATCAACTGGTTCCTGACGAAATCCAACCTTGGATACAGAAGGCCCGTTCGGCATTTGCCAACCTGCGTCATCTGTGGCGCCGGTGAGATATCCGACTACCTATCGAAGGACGAGTATAGTGTGCTGCAGTCCGCTCTCTCCTGTTATATGACTGTGAGACATGGTTGTTAAAAGTAGAATACACAAAGTGGTTACAGGGTTTTGATCACAGGCATCGTTATAGCGTTGCTCGCGTTTGGTGGGATCACCGTGTGAGCAATGTTGAGGTCAGGTGAAGGGTGCTAGGCAAGATCAGTAAGTGAATTGATGAAGTTGTGAATCTTCATTGTCTGAGGTGGCTTGGACATGTACTGCACATACCGAGTCACCACCTACTTGATGCGCTATGCTAGGAGAAGCTGTATTAGGTTAGTGGAGGGTTAAGGGTGGTCATATGAAGACGTGGCACTAGTCCATGACGTCCTTGACTGTTGGTCTGAATTGTGTTGCGAGTCAGTGAGACGATGGGAACCAGTGGTTTACAACTTGTTGACATGGCTGAAAATTGATCGCAGTGGTAGAGATGTATTCACTCTTTGATGTCTTTTAAGGCTTGGTTAGTCTCACTAATGTGAATCTTCAACTTGTTTATTCTTTCACACAACTTTTTTTCACTTTGGTATCACTCTTATTCTATTTACGTGTCTTTGTATGAGACTATGAAGTGTGGTGAGTTGAACCGATGCAGTTGTGTGCGAGGTTCTTCGTTGTTATGTCTGTCTTTGATTTTTTGACTTAATTGTAAGTTGGTGATTAAAGTGAAATAAAAATCTGATCGGCAGTTCTGTCTCTGAGCTGAGTCTGTGAAGCACCGATCCAGAAACCTGGCTGGTTCGCTAGCTGGGATTCTTCTAGGGCCCAAATTTTCATTTTAGCTTCAGTTATTACTCACTGTCGATTCAGGTCTGCTAAACCACGGCTAAGACAGTCAAACTGATAATTAAGTGAAGGCAACGAAACATTATCAAGGACCTAACTTCCCGAACGTTTTGTTGGAGGAAAGTAGTTATGTAACTAAAATAAATTTCCTGCCTTATACTAGAATGTGAGGTGATCTGATTTCTAACTGACCTCACCTTTGCCATGAGCATGTTAGTTATTTTCATTTTTTCTGTAGTCATCTGAGTTGGTTAAAATCTCTTTTTATAGGTTACACATACTTTTCACTTACGTGGTCTTCATTCTTGGATTCGTTCATGGTTAGCACAAAATCCATTTTCTGTTGAGAACTGTATCCGAAATGGTCGACGCTTACAATGGCGTCTTCCTCACCAAGTTATTTTAGATCATAGTTCCATTCTAGGCAGTAATCAACAGCAACAAATACAGAATGACATTATGAAGCGTCAAAAGATTGCAACAAATGCACATCAAGTTCCAAGAAATGGAGCTCATAGTGGGTAAGTTAATTAACAGTCTTCGTTATTACCTAGCAGTCCATCGGATTGTATGGAGTAATTTTCTGGTTTTATGTTTTTAACGGATGTTTCGTTTTCTTAAAGTTAACCGTGTCGGTTATGCTGTAGTGATGAGTAATGTCTGATTCATGGAGCACATTATTGAGTGTTATAGCGACTGCTAACTAATTTAGGTACACTATGTGGTCCACCATCCTCATAGTCAGTTTCGAATGTCTTGTGTATGTGATTTATTCACCTCGTTATTCAGTACGTATTTCATATATTTGTTTATGGTTATTTATGGTTAACACATTCGTCGTGAAACCTGAAGGTCTTGAGTTCGATCTTTAACCGAGTCGTGGGTGCGCATTGCTGAGAAGTCCCACACTAGGACAAAATAGCTCTCCAGTGCCCCCAGTTTTTCAGTGACTCGCCAACTGATGTCAGTCCTTGATGAATTCTACCTGAGTTACGTATGCCTAGCCACCATCTGCCTCGTAGCACAATGTTAATTGACGTAGGTTCAGGCTAGGAGAAGGCTCGGGGCGACCAGACTAAAACATGGTGTCAATGTATGAAACTCTTGACTGTTCGTTTGAGCCATATGGGATTATGCAGACTAGCTTGTCAGGGTCGGTGGAACAAGAGAGAACAATGGTTGGAGACTAGGTGATATGGCTCAGAACTGTTGTCAGTGGCGCAGACGCATACATGCATTATCCTCACATTAAGGGGTATAACTAATCTCATTATCTTTTCAATTTTCCTTCTCTTTTACTACTTCCTTTGACCAATTTTTCTTCATCTTCTATTTCTATTGCCTTGTTATTTGATGTGCTGATATGAGGTGTGGCAGTTTGAACCGTTACCCAGTAAATGCCTTATCCAATGTTGATCTTGGTGATGATAAACTCAAAATTAAAATCCCTATTCACCTCGAAATGTATATTCATTTATTAGGTACTTAATTTTGATTTGTTTGACTACTTGAGTAATATACCTACTAATGCCAAAGGCCGGGGGTTTTTCTGCAAACCCAGTTAGTGTAATGGGCTAGTCTTTTATAGTACTGGAATTTTCTAGGAATGCTTTCAATGACCCGGTGTTTTGGATATACTGCCATACACAGTGAAATCTTAAACATGTTCGTTTTCGCATTTGATTGACAGTTATCAGTTATCGCTAATTACAAATACGCTTATATTTGTAAATATTCTTTTTATCTGAACATCAGATCATCCACAATAGAATTTGACGATGAAGATTTACATTTTGGGGTGCCCCAGTTGGCGTCAGGCTGAATGATGAACTTTTGACGAAACAGTACAGGCACTTAACAGTTACTTTATTTTCATCTTGTGTACTTTCATATTGACAAACGGGTATTCTCCTTGACTGTCGTCACACAAGAGTAGTTTGTAGCTTAGCACGTTTGAAGTGGTTGTACATGTTGGTTGAGTTGTGTATAGCTTGTTATTTTCATAGCCAGTTAAAAGTTGCCGGAGAAAGTTGAGCGGTTAGTTTTAACTATTTCCTTTTTATGTTTTCTCTTCCAGGAACAAGTTGGTCGTAATGTCTATGATTTCTCGCCAAATTATTGCACGCGTAAGTTCGCCTTTCCCTACAACTTTACGTTTTTATGCGTATCACAAATATGTGTGTTCTGTGTTGAAATAATAAACAGGTGAAAAGTTTGAATATCAGTTATTGAAGTTATTGAAGTGCATCTGAAAACATGAAATGACGCTAACATTCCTACCAAACGTTGAAAAAAACTACTGAGCTTAAAATACTGATGGCATTCTCTGAAGTTATTTTGAAGTCTTTAGTCTTCAGGTGTACCTCTGACTAGTTAAAATAACTCTGATACTCATATTATACCATTTATTTTGGTAGATATTGTTAACCAATAAAGCGTAAATTCTGTTAACAAATTAATTCCTTGTCCAACCAAGAATTCTAGTCAGCTTTTATATTCCTGATTAAATCATAAAACAAAATACGTTTGGCGAAGAGTCACTCTTTTCAACTGATATTCTCAAACTGTACAATTGCCTATAAATATTCTGTTCACATGGTGGTAGAAAAGAAACGTTTCACAAAGTATTTTTGAGCGAAATTGAGTTTTTTTTTTATAAATCAGGAGATTGGAAAAAGAATTATTCAGTGTTTGAAGTAGTAATGAGAAAAATTATCAAGACTGGAGTAATATTTGGTTACTAAGTTAAATGATGTAATATGGTTGAAGGGGCTGGTGAATGTAATGAGATATCAGAATTGTAGAAGTGAGAGAATGGGATGTGTAAGAAATGAAAGAAAAGATTTTGCTGGTAAAATGTTCTTATTATTCATGTCCCTGGCAACTCAAGTGACTGTACAAATTTCTTTTGAACACAGAGTTCAGCCTTCAAAGTAATAATTGTAATGGCTTCCGTAGTTAGAAGAAGTTTCAGGCGTACATCTTTCATGAGGTTCACATAAACTCTATAGACGACACTGAAGTTATTTTCTGCATTTACCGGGTAATCGTAATTGATCCAATGTTCTAAAATGGAGCTATGAGGTGCTCTCCTTGCTCCTTTGTAGAACCACGCTGGTATTGGTTCGGAAACGCGTTTGAAAAGTGGACCCAGGTGCAGGTGGATTGAAGTATGTTCCTTGTAATGACCGTAAATTAGCTTTTTTTATAATCAGCTACTAAATAAACCAGTCTTTCTTAGTTCTGGTTACATTTGATGTTGTGCAGTGTTTCTATTTCTTCAAGCAAACAATGTCACATCTATCTATGTTCATTCTAGGCATTTACAGTGACTTGGGTTTCGTCTCTTTCATCTAGACATTCGAATAGCGACCAACTCGAATTTCGAACATATTTCTGGTTATGGTTTATTGGTGTAAGGTTAAACATGATAAGGATGCTCGTGGTTGGTTGATTGTTGTTCTCATTCTTTTTCTGTATGGAGGCAAAAATATATCTCCTAGCTAGAGTTCTTGTGTTCTTCTCATGTTGGTTTTTATTGAATGCCAATCAAATGTTAAAAATGTCACTTCTAGAAACTCCAGAATTTTGTCCTAATCTCTTCTTGATCTTCTCCCTGTTTCGGGGTAGTTTGGACTGATTCATTGTTTCACGATGTTTTGTTGCAGTATTGCATTAAGTAAACACCTTTGGCGATCTTACAGAGATGCCACTGGTTCCTCTTGTAGGATGAATTCCTGTACGCATGTATTGAATTAATGTTAATTACTTCACGTAACTGTTGGCTTTCTTCCTGTCTTTTGACCTCAAGTATTTAAAAAGAGTTCTTAATTCTCTTTTAGAGTTCTGCTACACTTGATGGAGCTACTCTTAAGATACATCGCGCTCATTGCAGTTATTTGTATCTGTTATCACCTATGCGGTATGTTCAATAATCGTAATGTTTTTATAGTAAACATATTGTTTTATGTTTTCACTTCAGACACACCCTTTTACAGTTTTTGTTTTCAACCGTTGATAGGAAATGTAACGGCTGTTTTTCTCTATCTATATATCAGGTACATTTAATGTAAGACTTTCATTCAATGTTTTTCTGAAAAATAACATGGGAAGTATTTTTGTAAAACACATATACTACTAACAAAAGGGTGTCAGTAGTTTATTTTGTTGTCTTTAATTTTACTGGAGTATGTGATCAACTGTCGTCGACTCTCATGTGATGAATTACCCGAAAAATGTAGTGTAGGACGACTTATAGAAGCGAAAAAGGCTACGTTAAAGTATTCCTCATTTTTGCTTCGAAGTATTTAAGTTATAGGTCTGAAAATGGGTCTATTCACTCATTACAAGCTTTATAAAGTTTTAGTAAGCTCTCGAAAATACCTCAAGTTATTAAGCTTTAGTTTTTCTTACAAATACCATATGGACTGGTGGAATGTGACATTATTATGAGTGAACAGATTAATTTTGAGACATGTAGCTTGAATACTTCCAAAAAGAAGTATGAAGTATTTCAGTGTAGTCTTCTTGGCTTCAGTAAATCGTCCTACGCTACATTTTACAAGACGTTGACAGTAGGTCACATCCTTCAGTAAAACCTAACACATAAAGATGAACTACTGACAACGCTTTGTTAGTAATACATATGTTGTTGGAAATATCTCGTGTTATTTTACTTCATGAATTGTTTTGAGCTGTCGACTCCAAAAATCCTCGTGGATGAGAGTGAAATAATAATTTAGTAATTATAAACTTTTGATTGCTACTAATCGTGTTTGATAAAGTTATCGACTTGTAAACTTAGACAATTTAAACTTCTCATAAATTCATAAAGGAAAGCAGGCAATTTAATTAAGAAAAAGTTCGTTTTTAACGACGTCATTCACTCAGAGTGTATGATCGTATTTATGGTCGTTGATAAATAAAAATATACTGTCGGTCAATAGGTTTGAGTTATATCAAGAATGTAGCGTTCAGAAATAGAATAAAAGCAATTATTTGTACGGGTACAGTGCATACATAAGGTGATGAAAGGATTTCAGTAGTCTCTCAACTTTTTCATGGCATGACTAATTTCATGGCTAATTAAAAGTTACGATGTGTGCACTGAAGAAGTACATTTCCAGTTGCCTACTTCTCTCGGTTCTCTATCCCTGCTTCTACTTTGGTGAAATCTTCAGTAATAAAAACTGGTTTTTCAGTGGGACACTTTTTGTGACAAATCTTCAGCATCAACTTTTGCATTTGAGCGTCCCAACTAATCTTTGTATTTAAAAATGCCGAGATGACTGAAACTAAAACAACTGAGGCCGTAGCTTAGAAAAAATTTAATTCCATCAGTCTAAAGTTTACTCCCTGTTTTGAGCAGTTGCAACAGTATTCTATCTTTTTACTCATCATCATTTCCAATTTTCAATCCAGAGTTTTGCAACCTATTGATTTTAAGAAGCATAAGCAGGCTATTGTGTGTACTTAACGACAACCCCACCACACCATTAAGCTTAGTTAGACACGAAATCTTTATTTACGTCTCTAATGTCATAGCTATACGATAGTATATTGGAGGAGGTGTAGGTACTGACCACCGACTCACGTCGCTAATCTATGAAACTGCCGAAGTAACCACCTCCATCGCCCGACGCCCGGCGCCACCTATGGCGCCGCCGTGATATTCGTTTGTCTATTAAGGGTCGCGTGTACTGCACAGCAGTCCGCTCTGTTCTACTATATGGCTGTGAAACATGGCCATTGAAAGTGGAGGATACAAAAAGGCTTCAGGTGTTTGACCACCGTTGCCTTCGTAGTATAGGACGTATTCCGTGGTGTCACCATGTGAGTAATGCAGAAGTTAGGTGTAGAGTTTTGGGGAGAAGAGGTAAGTCAGTTGACGAGGTTGTGAACCTTCATCGACTGAGATGGTTGGGACACGTACTACGTATGCCTAGTCACCGATTGCCTCGTCACACACAATGTTGGCTGAGGTGGGTTCAGGCTGGAAAAAGGCCCGAGGTGGCCAGACTAAAACATGGCACCAATGTATGAAGTCTCTGACTGTTGGTTTAAGCCATGTAGGACGATGCAGACTAGGTGGTTGGGGTCCACGGGACAAGAGGAACCAGTGGTTGGAGACCCTAGGTGATATGGCTCAGAACCGAAGTCAGTGGCGTAGATGTATACACACATTATCCTCATCTTAACACTCCTCTTTCCTTTCTTCTCGTACTTTATATTTCTTTTGACTGCATTCACTTATCTTCATCCTTCACCTCACTACCTTTTTACTTGATGTGCTGATATGAGGTGTGACAACTCGGACCGTTACGCAGTAATGCCTGGTCCTATGTTAGTATTGATGATGATGATGAGTATATTGGAGAATGCACAACACATTTGATTTCAATTTTATCCTTTTCTTTTCAGCATTGTCCACTTAGAGTAGAATGTAATGAACACTTGTTGACTTTTGAATTGTAATGAAATCATAAATGTCATTTTAAGGCTTTCGTTATCCAAGGCATCTTCACTTTTAATCTTTTTTTTTATTGCCAGTAATTTGATTTCATGGGTTGTGTTTTCTTACTGAATATAGGTAAGGATCAGCAATAAGCAAGCATTTACAAAAAAAATCTTATATTCTGATGCTCAGTGGTTAGGTTTGGTTAGTTTCCGATGAATAATTTCCTTTACACTACTACATTGCTGGTGGTTTTAGACGTAGTTTTTTTTTACATGCAAATAACTTTTGTTGTCATTTTCTAGTGCCTTATTTAAGTTTTTTTATATTTTAACCAATGTCTTTATTCTCAGTTTGGGTATAGAATGCCGACCATTACCTTTGAACTCACTTCTGTCCCTTTCTATCTTCTAAATCATTCTCTTCATAGTTTCAGATATGTGTACCATAGGGAATCCCTCCTTCTAAATCGACCTGTGATCAGTTATGTTAATAAGAGATGGTCTTCTTACATCAATCGTACCAGTAATTGTGAGGTGTGTTTAGAAATTGTGGTAATCCATCATCATACGCTTAAACCTTGTTATTCAGTCTAACTGGTCGAAAACGATGCTTCTAGGAAGTAATAACTACTTAAGTTGTGCTGTACTGATTTGTTTATGTATACGTATAATGACGATGTTTGTTATGCAAAGTTTGTGCAGTTTTTAGTGATAATTTACTGTTGTCAGAAAAATCTTTTTGGTGTTTGGAACTTAACTACTCAAATTTCTTGTTAAATGATTAATTGTAGATCTGTTACTCTGGACAAATGCCGTAAGCTGACGATTGTTTTGGGACCAATTGAAAATACTCTCCAACTTAATCAATGTGAAGATTGTTTGGTTATCTCAGCTTGTCGTCGGGCTGTTTTGGCTTCTTGTCGACGATGTACCCTACATTTAGCTATTCAGTCTCATCCAATTCTAATTCAACCACCGGTTCCAAATACTACTATCGGAATAGGTATAACTGGTGGAAATACTTCAGGGATAATTGCAGGTGGTAATCCTCCTACACCAGGAACACCTACATCTAGTGGTGTAACACTAGTAGGCAATGAAGAAATTTTGTTGGCTCCTTTTCATACAAATTACATGCGTTTAATGGAACATTTGAACCGAGTAAATCTGAATCCAAAAGTTAATTATTGGGATCGCCCATTCTTATTGGGTAAGTATTTCTCATATTTGGCATTAACTTGACTATAAGGGGTGGTGAAAGATATTATATATTTTTTCTTTTAGTTTCCTATAACAAATAACAGTTAGGATGCAATCACCATTTATAGGAGATTACTCTGGAAATGCGATCTATGAGTGATATTATCCTGTTTTCATCTTCAATCTCTTTTGTCCCCATTTTTAAATTCTTTGATGGGTTCACATAGATGTACTTTAACAGCGAGTAGCACTTCAATTGATTTATATGTGAACAGCATGATGGGTGGGTGAGATAAACTATCGAAATAATAACAAATATGGTAATTTAGAAGTAGTATTCATCATGGACTGACATCAGTTGGGGAACCATTGAAAATCTGGGAGTACTGGACAGCTGTTTCGTCCTAGTATGGGACTCCTCAGCAGTACGCACCCACCACCCGGCTAGGGGTCGAACTCAGGACCTTCAGGTTTCACGGCGAACGCGTTAACCATTCAGCCACTGAGTCGGTTTCCACTGCTTCACAATTTCCAACTTCTGTCAATTCACAACATAGTGCGACTATCACCCAAGTGACGTGCTTCCAGATGGATATCACGAAGCTCTAATGAGAAGCCATGACCTGTGGGGTCAACCAGTCGGAAGTGAAATGAATGCTAACTGAAGACCTTGGGTGACAGTCGCGCTATGTCGTGAATTGACAGAAGTTGGAAATTGTGAAGCAGTGGAAACCGACTCAGTGGCTGAATGGTTAACGCGTTCGCCGTGGAACCTGAAGGTCCTGAGTTCGACCCCTAGCCGGGTGGTGGGTGCGTACTGCTGAGGAGTCCCATACTAGGACGAAACAGCTGTCCAGTACTCCCAGATTTTCAATGGTTCCCCAACTGATGTCAGTCCATGATGAATACTACTTCTAAATTAAAAATCCCCATTCATCTCAAAAATAAATAAGGTAATTATCAAACACTGGATATGAATAAGCACAAAATAAATATATTAGAAATATTTGGGAAAAGATGATAGGGTGAAGGGTCATTAATTACCAGGGCAATAACTTTATCGATGAGTGTATTCAAACTAACCGCTATTCTGAATGGCAATAACAAATTAATGTGTGTCTTTTTGAACTCGGTTCCAGTTGTTATAAAAATACATTTTAATATGATACCAGTGTGTGTAGAAAATCGAAACAAGATATTTTTGAACCTTTCACTGTGTAAGCCACAACTTCTTCAACAGAATGGAATATACAGATTTTTATTAATATTAAATATTTAGTAAACGTAGGTCATTAGTTGGATGGTTTTTGTCCAACCTGAGTAGTTAAGATAATTATTTAACTATCTGAGACAGCCGTAGTTCCGCAGACTAATAATACTCATACTGGGTGATGATTAAGGGTGAAATGAAAATTCGGACCACGGACGGATTCGAACGAGTGACCACCGGGTTGGTAGAGCACTGAGCCTGAAACCCGGTTATTGATAATCAATATCAAGCTCCTACTCACTAAATCAGTCAGATTTCGAATGGAATGAGAAGTCACGAGTAGGCAGCCAGTGTGAATACGATCGAGTGGTAGGAACGCGTTACGAAATCACAAAGTCCTCGGGCAAAAACACTGGCTAGTGGAAACAAATAAAACTCCGGCCAGGAGTCCCACCTCGTAGCTAGCTTGCCAGAGCTCACAGCTTCAAACCCGATGATTTCTGGTTGGGATCCAGTCGTGGTCGAAATTTTCACTTCACCTTCAATCATCACCCAGTATAATTAAGGTAGTAAGTCATTAAAACTTCATGCTTATTATTGTGTCATTTGTCAACGACAATGTAAGATAATCAAAGTATAATAATAATAATAATAATAATAATAATAATAATAATAATGATAATAATAATTCACTTTATTCCAAACAATTTGTGGTACAATTTGGAATTCTCAGCATAATATATATTGCAATAACAACAAAATATAAGTATATGCATACTACTTTGCAGCCTTTTGAATTGTTTTATTATAAAAATTTATGTGAAGAATATTAAAAAAAAGAAAATTTTGCATTGTTAGTTAAATTATTGAAATGGGATTTTTAACTGTCAGAAAGTTGATGTGTGATATCTGTTCTAACACTCTTTTCCTGACAAAATATGCGTGCAAGGTAAGGTACAGTCGAATTCTTATACTTAGCTGTACGAGCATACAGTTTCTCCTTGTCCTCCCTGTGAGGAGATACATGGAGAGAGCTGTAAATGAAGTGGATGCTCACTGTCAGTTAAAATTTCTGTGGCTAGTAGCTTGCAGGAATTCATATGTCGATCAACTACAGTGTTTATCAGTTGAGCCAGAGACACACCACTCACCCTGTTGACGGCCTTCAAAGCCCTACGCAACATAACATAGTCCTTTTTAAGAAGACCAGGAAAGATTAATGGGGAGCAATATAGAAGAATAGGTAAAATGCAGGAATTAATAAATTGCAAAATAAGCAGTTGAAGTATACCAGAAAGCCTCAGTTTTTTTACGCAATAAGCTAAACGAAAGATTTTTTTACAAGTCAATAAAATATGGGACGACCGACAAAGATCAGAAGTAAAACGCAACCCAAGATAGTTCACACTCGATTTACTTTCTGCAGGCGTAAACAAGACTTATGTGTGAGAGTGTGTATTGATGTATGTTGTAGACTATGTGTTGTTTCTTGTACTTTTATTTATAAACTGTCAATAATTGTCATTGGTAGTATGTAATTGTTTTTATATCATACCGTCGTCGATTGGACCGAATTGATCAGTCTCTATTGGCATATGAGATCCTATGTGGATGCCTCGATATTACCTGTGCTCCTATCATAGTAATGATGGATAGTGCCTAGCAGTGGAATCCAGGAATGTCCATTTCGTCGTATTTGGGACTCGTCAGTTGGATGTACCTGCTTCCCAGTGAGTGATGTCCTTCCCACCGGGATTAGGACTCGGGGGCGATCGCTTCAAACGTCAGAGCGTTATCCACATCCTTTGTCATTGTTATTGTACCTTCAAGAGGAAAAGGTCATCATTAATGGTTTTGTCATATTAATATTTGTCAAATAGTTGGCAATTCTATTCCTTCATTCCTGTTGATAATATTTTATGTTAAAATATTCAGGGTTTCGGAAGTTAATCTTTCTTCATGGGAATGGAAACCTTTTCTCAATACGTCTACATTCTTAAAGTCAATCATGTGTCCACTTTCGATTGTATGCATAGATGTCACTGGTCGTTTTTATAAATTTTTTAATTCATCTTGATTCCTCGGTGGATGTTTCCTGCATAACTTGTGTTCATTCACTCTAACTTTCTCCGACATAACTAGCTTCACATTCCAAACATTTAACTTTGTAGACACAGTTGTTCTGTGTCATCTTAGGAATGGTATCTTTCACTTTGACTGAGACATTTTCCTAAGAAACTTGGAGGTTTAAAGCGAAGCTCATATTGTTTTAATCTGTTCAGAAGTACCCTTCCGAAATGGTATCATAAGACATGATACCGATGATTTTGTTGTACTTTTATTATTTTTGGTAGTAGTTTTTTTTGCTGTTGTATTCATTTGGTCGATAATGTTGTTCAAGAACCTTTCAGGGTATCCAAGAAGACAGTCTAAGAAAGTTAGAGTCCCAAAAATATCCTTTGCTTTACTTTCTCAAGAATGACAAATGTATCATCCACATACCTGTATCAAATTCTCGTTTGATATTAGACACTTCTTAACGTGTTTTTCTTCCAAAGCTTTTGATATAGAAATTTGCCACAATTGGAGATGCTGTTGGAACCCATTGCAACTGCATTTGATTGATGGTATATTCTATCTGTAAACATGAAATATGTAGATTCTAAGCTTATTCTCAACTATTCCTCTGTTGAAAGTGGATATTTAGATACTACTTCTTGATCATTATTATTATTAATGGTAATTCTTACAATACCTAAACAATCGTATATTAGTATACTGGTGAACAGAGAAATCACATCAAAACTTATCATAATTTCATCCTCTTTTATGGTTGTATATTCGACAGTTTATTTTTGAAATCCTGTGAATTTTTAATATTTGAAATGTCATATTGGAAGGGTTCCACAATCCTTGATAAATATTTCGATGTGCGATACGTTAACGAATCTGTATAGCCGATAGTTGGCGTGAGGGGAACACCCGTTTTTGGAGTTTTGGTCTACAATAAAATCTATTATTATTATTATTATTATTATTATTATTATTATTGTTATGATGATTTGTCCTTTGGGTTCCTAGTGGAACATAGGGCTTCAATAGCACGTCTCCGTTGCACTCTGTTCTCTGTAGTCTTTTCAAACTGGTTCCACAACTACCCAGAAGCTTTCATTTCTTCCTCACACGATCTCCTTCTTATCACCGTCGTACACCCAACTCGTCGTTTCCCTTTTGGGTTCCACTCGACGGCGTGACCCGACGCGTGATGTCCCCGAATAGTCTTGTCAGAGTATGTGCAATCCGTCTCCACTTTCTTCTTCATATTTGTTGGACGATGGGTTCTTGGCTCGTTGGTTCGTTGGCAGGTCAGAGTTCCTTGCTACTTATTCTTATTATTCTGGCCATCTGATCTGATCTGATCTTCAATATCGAGCGAGTGTAGGCGGCAGCTGTTGATAAATGTTTTTAGTTTGTTGGGAATGCTTTTCGTGATATGCCAAGTTTCTGAACCATATAGAAGCAATATATCAGCATTCTTTAAAGTCAATCATGTGTCAAGTGTCAGAAATACCTTGTTTTGATTTTTGAAACATGTTGCTATTATATCAATATATATTTTTATAATGATTCAATCAGACTCAGTGCTCAACTTCTTCCAGGGCATTCAGTCTGGATGTTTTCTCATCTCATTAAAAATCTAATTAAACTATCAACATTTCAGTCAAAGTGGTATAATCATCGTATTTTTAATGTTCGATGTTCACATAACAATATCATGCCTAATTTACTTTGTATCAAAC